CTTCAGCATATCTTGGTTGTACTAAAAATCATATAAATGTAATTAATAATAATTAATATATGTTACATATATATATATAAATATATATAAATATATAATTTACAATTTCCAGCATCAGTTGTTGGTAGTAATCCAGAAGGATTATAAAATATAGCTTTTGGTTTATCATTAACTACAGAAACGCCATGAGCTTTTTTAGTTTCTACTATTTTTGAAAATTTATCTTCCAAGTCTTTCAATTTGACTTTTCCATTTTTATCTAGCCGTTTTTCTTTATCTAAAGTTTTATAACGTGTTATTTCCTCCTCAAGTTTTGATGTATCTTTGTGCATCATAACAAGAGTTCTTATTCTTCTCCTTTCAGCCTTATTCTTCTTGATCTCTTTCTGGCGCATCGCTTTACGATGCGCATCAGCTGGATTAAGAGTTCTTCCACTTTTCTTTTTAACCATTTTTTCACAATTTTTTTTTTACATTAATATAAAATGAAATCTGTTGTATGTGAAAATTGAAAATTTCGTTGGTTTCACTAATGCAAGTCTGTGCAACTCCAATAAAATGATCCTCAAATTATCACCATAATCATAGTTGTCATCATTTCATTGCTTTGAAGGACTAGTTACTGTTGACGATGATGATTTAGCACAAACTTTCTTATGTGGTCTTCATTTCTAAGAAATAATACAATAATACTTAATTAATTAAACAAGTTTTTTTCTCTTGCTCTAGTTATAATATTAATTATTTTTAAAATGAATACTAACCATGAGCAAGAAAAATCAGAAATAAAGAATCGAGTAGATTAAACATAATAAAGTTGAAGAATATGAAACTTGTAAACCACCACATAAGAAAGTTTGTACTAATCATCATCAATATTAAATAGTCCTTCAAAACAAGAAAACGATGATTGTGATTATGATGGCAAAGAAAAAATTCCGATGTTGAGGAAAACGAAGAGAATGCTTTGTCAAGAAATCAAAATTCACTTAGCCCATCATCATCAGCAACAGCAGAAACATCAGCAGTAGAAACACTAGCAACTACAATAAAAGTAACGAAAAATTTCACAAGTACACTCCCACATGAACAAGTCTGCACATAATAAAACGCTTGGATGCATCAACGGATTTACATGAAAAAATGAAGCAAAGTTTCTTCAAAATTTTCTCAGGTCACCTCCACAATTGTATGATAGATTAGATTTAAATGAATTTCATTATGCTTATCTCAATATTAAAATAATCTAATTCTTTTTTCATCATTTCTAATGTTAGCATTTTGTTGTCGTCATCAAAATCTACATTTTGATCTTCTTCTTCATTTACTTCTCCGGCCTTGTCATCATCTTTCGCCAGTATTATTGCTATTACTATTACTACTATTCTAATTTCAATAAAGCTCATCAGCACAATAGTATTTGGATCCTATCAAAGAAATATTCATATTCCTATGTGTTGGTTGGAATAGTGATCTGTTTCTTGAATAAAACTTCCAAGTACATATTGCATACACTCATATTATAAACATCTCGTATTATTGTTACTTTTGTTCCACTGATATTCAATATCTAAATTGGTTTGCATTTTATTTTATTTATTTTCACTTAGTTTTATGTTTTTAAGAATTTGTAAAATTTACAATAATGAAAGAATAGTTTGAGAAAGTTTATTTTTTAAATTTGAATGAAGATTATACAAAAATAAACATTTTACTTAATCGCCTTCCTCTCTAGACTCATTAGATAAAAATACATGACTATTTCTACTGCTAACACCAATCATTGTGAATATGCAATTATGATAATCGATTAAATATTCTTGAGAGTTTTTATTTATTTCTTTTCTTCATTGTCCGCATCAATCCTTGTATCATCCACAACATCAGAGTCAAATCTTGTTTCATAGATCTTACTTAATTTTGCTTGATGACCCTTTTGGTTATTCTGTTCTTCAAATAACACTTTTTCATGTTTTGTATTAAAAATTCCCAAATTATTTAATAAATTTTCCAAATCAAAATCTGATGATTCTTTTTTTCCATCATCACCCTCCTTTAAATTCTCACTGTTACTCCTACCATCATTACCAATAGTTCCGATTTGCTCTAAATTTCCATTATTATTTAAAAGAAGAATCTTTATTTTTCTGATGCCTCCATGATCATCATCTTGTTGTTGCTTATTTGTATTCTCAAGCAATTTATTTGCTATTGCTGCCAATTTTTCCATTTTTATTTTATTTCGAGCCATTTCTATGTCCTTTTTATCATTATCATTATCATTGTTATTATCCGTTGATTCTGGATTGTTTTTATTTAAAGCTTGATTCACTTGCTGTTGTTGATTTTGATTATTTGAGCCATCAAATTTTTCACCCTTTTCATTAGTATGTTGTTTGCTGAAAAAATTTTTCAAAATAATAAAATTTTTTATTAATATCATGTTAAAAATATAATGTGTAATTAATATATCTATTTTTCTAATGACATAATAGACTAGGAACGAACCACCTTGATTTTTCTTTTTTTTTTTTTAATTTAAGAAAAAAATACTAACATAATTAATCAATCAAAATTTCATCACATTGCTAAACTTTTGCAATGATACTGTACCTTGACTTGCCTTTCAAACCACTTTCTAATCTTTTTTCCATGACGTGTTGATAATATGCATCAGATACCACCGGTATACATTCAATCGGATTGATTTTTGAGAAAGATGTATTATGAAAAGCAGGATCGGTGCATAAAAGTGATGTGTGAACAATTACAAGATAATGACATGTGTACATCTCGGTAATCACGGCAATATAATCACGGCTTTGCAGATTACAATGAAACTATAAATATATAAATTTAAATTATTTTTTACAATAATTTCAAAGGCTTAGTTAATTTTTTAAATATTTTAAATAATTAACAAACCTGAATCTCAACTCTACGAGGATTACCAGTTAAATCACATTTAGTTCCATCACTCCAACGTTGAACCAAGTATTTTTTTCCTCCGCCAACTTGTAAATCTGTACCTAATGTCCTTTTTTTTTCGCCAAAATTATTATTATCATCGTCATTATCTGAAGGTGATGGTAAGGTTGCATGACGTGGGTCATATTTTCCCAAAAAAAAAGACTCACTACTTTCATCTTCAACAACTTGATTCCCCCCAGCTTGAATTATTTGATGAAATTGTCTCACATGTCTAAAAAAATATTATATATTTAATACGCTTACAAAATCAAATAAATAAAACAACAACAACACACACACACAAAAACACCCACATATAAATATGTTACCTCATATGACAATATTCATAAGTCCACCATCCATTTATCTAAATAATAGAAATAATAAAATAATCAAATTTTAAATTGTATAATAATGGATTTTTTTGATAATAAGAAAATATTATTTATAAAAGTTAGTTTTACATAGTACAGGCAATTTTTCTTCAAAGGTTCTAATAATTCTAAACCTTTTTTCATGAGGTTGATATCATCATCTTTATTTTCTTCAGGTTTATTGTTTTTATTATTGTCGTCGCTGTTGTTTTTATTCTCTTCAATAGTTGTTTGATTGTCAATATAAGGTATACTGCAAACATATGGTTGACCAGTTGATGTACGCATTATTATTGAGGTTGATTTTGATTTTTCTGATGATTCTCCAGATGATGATGATTGATCAATTTGTATCATTTCCTGAACATTATTGGAATCCTGGTAAATGTTATTTGATTAAATAAATACTTGAATGAATCATTAAAAAAATTAATAATAAAATCTTCTAATAAAGCTAACTGCTTGTACTTTTTCAATGACATGATTTTCAATCCTGCTATTTGGTATTAGTTGATTCTCTAGAACAACGACTTTGTATTGCGGATATGCTAAAAGATCTTCATAAACCCATGAAATTGAAAATGCATTTGTGAAAATAATTGTCGTTGATGATATTAATAAAAAAAATGTAATGTAAAAGATATAAACAAATCTTTTAAGTAATCTCATTTTTTTTATTTTGTACAAAGAAAAATTAATAATTAAAAACATTTATACGTGTCAATATTTTTCATTCAGCCATATATGGCATTTTTGTGTAATTATGTGTCTGACCAATAAATGCTTTCTGGTCGTAAAACAAAAATTTTTTTCACAAGATACTTTCAATTGATCTTTTACGTTAACTTGATTAAAAGTTGAAATTGCTTGAAATGCAAAATTACCAATAATAATGTAATATAACGGTGATGATGGTGAATCCATCTGAAGAAAAAGAAAAAAAGTTTAAACTGAAGAGGTAAAAAAACTCGACATGAAATATAAGATATTGAATTAATTTCATCACGAGATTCTACAAAAGGATGATAATTACTATTTTTATAATAAAGAGGCACTTACTTAGTGCATATAGTATTTGATGACAGAAATACCGAAATCATTTGTTATAGAAATTTCAGGAAATAATTGACGAGCCAATTCATGATGTGGAGGTGCACCGCTACGAATTACAATGTTCAATATATGATTCATGCTTATTACCACAAAAAATTTTATTGATGACAGAATTAGTAATTTCTTGGGTAGTTTTTTTCTTTTAGACCCATTTCCTACTACATGCCGATGATATAATCTTCGTCAAAAGGGCGTTTCAATTTCAATTTCACATACAACATTACCACAAATACATGTAACCTGAGCACCACCATTTTCAGAAACAAACCCGCGGTTTATTTTTTGCAGTTCTCGAAAATATTAATGAGACCCCCCAGTAAAACAAACCTCCAAGGCCCTCTGACCAAAATTGTATTTTTTTTTAATATTAATCTATAACATATAAATTATAATTGGTGAAAATATTAGACCCTGTTTGCGAGATCCAAACATACTAGATTTATAGAGGTCGGCGGCCCCTTTGATCATGAAAATTTTGAGTTACACACAAAATTAAGTTTTCCCTACAAATTTTATTGTAGATCTTTTGAAATCTAGAAAAAAATGTCTTTAGAATTTGATCAAGATTTTTTAATTTTCAAGGTTGTTATAAATTTTTCAAATTTTTAATGAATCGATCATCTATTAATATGTATATATGTATATATATATATAGGATCCAGAAAACTATTTACCACCTGAACCCAAACCAAATTTTCACATTTTTAACAGGCTTGAGAACTGTATTGGAAAAGAACCAAGTAAATCCAAAAAAAAAAATATTAGATTTTAATAAATAAATAATATACATCATATAGATTTTATTATAATTATAGATGAAGATGATGAGAAATCAATTATAATAAAATCATTGACAATTCGTACAATAGGATCCCATCCATTATGGGGTCATTATTTATGGAATGCAAGTAAAGTATTATCAAATTATTTGGATAGCAACAGTAAAAATTTGGTCAAAGATAAATTTGTGTTGGAATTTGGAGCTGGTGGTGGATTAGCATCTTTAATTTGTGCTATTAATGAAGCAAAAAAAGTTTGTAATTATTTTATTATTTGGATTTGATTTATTGCATCATTTATAGGATCATAATTAACTAATTATTTGTATGTTGGTGGGAAGGTTGTAATTACAGATTATCCTGATGATGAGTTAATTGAGAATATTAAATATAATGCCATAGCAAATCTTGGTGTTAAGAAAATACAAGGCAATAAAGAATCTGTAGAACTTCCCAACAATGTAATAATCTCAGTAAGTTAATTTGCACCTAACAAATTAAATTACCTAAACAGGCCCAATCACCAACCTACATAATATAATTAATTTTCTAGGGCTACATTTGGGGCAGAGACACAAACCCACTACTAAATTACATTAATTCCACAAATTCCATTAATAATAAAAGAAAATATGATCTAATATTATTATCAGATTTGTTGGCAAATCACTCAGAACACAAATCATTATTAAAATCATGTAAAGAATGTTTGGAACCTAGCAATGGACAAATATTGGTGTTTTTTACACATCATAGACCGCACTTTATAAAACAAGATTTAAACTTTTTCAAAATTGCAACTGAAGAGGAAAATTTTAAAGTTGAAAAAATATTACAGGAAAAGATGAATCCGATGTTTAAAAATGATTATGGAGATGAGGAGGTTAGAAGTATTGTTTATGGCTATAGATTATCATTATATTGAAAATATTTGCAAGCTAATTGAAATAATATATGTGTTTTTTTATGTAATGATAATAATAGTTATATATTTAAATAATTTAAATAAAATACAAATTTACATTATATTTTTTTATTGGTGTTCTTATATGGAGATATGACTAGTAATTTATTGTAAATTTATTTTCAAGTTTGATAAATAAAGGACTTTATTCTTGGAGGTAAGCATTAATTTTTCATTATGCAGAAAGTTTTTATATTAGAATATAAAATTCAAAATAGATATATCAATAAAAAAATAAAGGCGAAAAAATTTTAACATGGAATTAAATATATAAAACCTTATGATTGTACATTAATAAAATCATGTCATTAGGCACTTTAATTGATTCATGAATGCTATTATTTTGGTTTATGATAAAAAATCATTATTTTTCAAAATTAATATAATTTTTGTAATATTAAATTTCCCCCATATTTATTTAGAACTATAACTCCGTAACCATATGCGCTGATTTTGTTTGATCCCCAAAATTCAGTGCGGTATGATCATAACATTATGAATACTTTATACGAGTAAAACCCATTGGTTTTGAGGTGGGGCCATTGGTTTGACGGGTTGATGGATAGTAAATTAGTTTTTTTTAGCGGAGCAAATAATTTTTTTTAGGGTAATTATCATTCTACCGACCAGTTTACACATCGAAACACAATAAGACATAAGGTTTGAAAAAAGGCCCAAAAAACCAAATCGGCTGATATGCTATTATCGTTTAAAATAAATAATAAAAGTATGTAGTAGTAGTATCAGAAATAACGGGATTACAAAAATGGTAGAATTATTTAACTTACATGTTTACCTAAGAGATATTGATTTGAGTTCTTGTAACCTTAAGAATGACGGTTTAAAATTTTAGCCAGGTCATTGTGCAGCCTCAACTTTTACAGAGCAAGATGTTATAAGATGGTGTTATAAACGAAGCGCGTACAAACACTCTAATTGTTGGATTGAAAAAATATAGATGTTTCTAAATACATTCAATAGATATAAACAATATATTGATCTCATCTCAAGATTTATATCGAATCTAGAACATGAAGTTACCTATTTGAATTTTCTGTCGTTCTATAAGTAAATTGGTAAGGTATGTATATATTTATTAAATTTTAAAAAAAATTATATTATTTTTATAATAATGTGTAAGTATGGGCTATAAAAATTAACTTTGGCCCTTCCGAACATTTTTTTGCAGATCTTTGCTAATGTTTTTTCCAAAAAATGTATAGTTCACCCAAAAAATCAAAAAACACGAAAATTTTTGACTATGATTTTAATTCTTCACCAATATCCTCACCAACATCAATATCCTCATCAGTGCCAATATCCTCATCAGTGCCAGTATCAGCAGCAGCACCAACAGCATCAACAACACTGTATTCTACTCAAGAACCAATCAATGATTTGTGGCAATTAAGAACTGCCTCTTCACGAAAAAGATTAGATGCAAGACCTATTTCAAATAATGCCTTAGAAAGGATTCAAGAAAAACGAAAAAGATATGGTTTTTTCACTGAACAAAACATAGAAGAAGAAGAAGGGAGAAGATTTATGAATATGAATGACGCGTTGAATTCAAACGCAAACAAAGAAAATAATAACAGTACTAGTAGTAGTAACAGGAACAGCGATAATAACAATAACAATGATATTTTTGATGAAATAATTGATAAAACGAGAAGGTAGAATATTTATGAACAGATATTAAAGTATAGTTAGTATATTATGAAAAAAAATTTTCAAATTTTAATTCATTGGTTGACTATTTTCTAGATTTCTAGAGATGATTCCAAAAGTGTTTTTGTTTATTTTTATATATAAAATTTATCGTTTTTTATCATCTATAAGACAAGCAATTGACATTAAAGTCGATGAACATTCACAAGGTATTCATGGTATCCATTCGTTTTCTTGATTGTTGTTGCTTAGCAACAACAACAATAATAATATTATTGTTTTTCTTCTAAAGAAATCAATCAATGCGTCAATTTATTAATTACAAATCTATTAACTCAACCATTTAGAAATTGTTCAATCAATGACTGAATGCTCTAAAAGTTACTATGTTAATAAATGCATACCTGGAGATAGGGTCCCTGCTTTAGAGATTGTTTGCTCTGAATGGGAAAAATATCTTTTTCATAAACTATGTTATTATATATCTATAAAAAACATTTAATTATAATCTTATTTATTGTTTATCTTTAACTTTTAAACTTTATCCTACCAATTACATGTATGAATAGAGATCCTACTGCAATTTCAAGGTAATTAATTATTGTTGTTGTTATTATCCCTGATTCTGATGTTTTTTCAATTCACCAAAATTTTCTATTAATTAATTATATTATATAATTATTGTTAATATTATAACTTAATAGAGCATCAGTGTCTGTTGAAGCTGCTGGAGAAATAATTAATAGTTTAACTGATAAACTCTCTTATAAGACATTGGTAAACATAATGAAATGGACTTTCATATCATTAGTAATAATATATTACCAAAAATCAATAATATTATCTCTATTGACTTTTGTATACTATACTTTATATCTATCTAGTTTTTTCTACTGGCAATTTTCTTCGCTGTATTCACTTCAAATTATATTGTTGAATTACTCAAAAAACAATTTCAAAACCTTGTTTCATATAACAATCATCATCCACCACCACAAACATATACATCACCACCACCACAAACATATTCATCTCCGCCACCGCGACAAACATATTCATCCCCTCCGCCACGACAAACATATTCATCTCCACCGCCACAACAAACATATTCATCTCCACCACAACAAACATATTCATCTTCGCTACAAGCATATACATCTCCATCACCATATGCTCGCCTACATTCAAATACACTAGACGCGTTAACATATTGAAATGATAATAGATTCTTTTTTCGACGGTTTGAATGGTCCCCTCAAAATAAACTTAATGTAATTATTTTTTGTTATAGCCTCTTTTTGTTATTATTATAGGATTAATAATCCTGTTTTTGGTTTGCAAAGTTATCATTATGTTTCAGGGATCAAATAGATCACCAATACTGCTGAATCTCATTATAACGAAGTGTAACACGTTATAACAAATTTTAGCATTTTGCTCCATATTAATATAAAATCCGTTATTATCATAATATTAATATTAATATTGACGTTAACCCATTACAACCAAGTACCAGTAGTCCATTAATTACTGGATAAGGTCTTAATGGGTCGTAATATAAAATTTTAGTGATCAACATTGGAAAAAAAAATACTTCAACCCCAATTTATTGTCTCACCAAATTTTGAAAATATATGGGGCATGGACAATAGAAAGGGACCAAACGTCAAAAATCATGATTTTGAGTTGATGCCACATATATATGTAACTCGTCGCAAGGAATAATTTTAGCTTAGGAACAATACCCACATTACTTAATAAAATTTTGAGAATTTTGAATAGGTTATATGCCTAATTCAATTATCAACAAAAATGAAGAAATAGTTAATGAAGCAGAAAAAAGGCATGATGAAGTGGAAGAAAGTTATGGAGAAGAAGGAAATGATTTTGAAACAGAAACTTTGTCTAAAGAACAATTAGAAAAATTCAAAAATATTTATAATAAAAATAAAATAATTGATGACCAAATTATTGACAATGAAGAGCAAATAAAAATAGATAATGATATCAACCATTATATAACAAATTTACTAGAACAAGTTTGCTGTCAAAAAGAATGCTTGAAAATGAATTTAAATTTTAATGATGTTAAAACTAGATATAAATGCTTTCTTGATTTAAAAAAAACTGAACAAGATATTTTTTTAAAAGGTGTTCTTTCTGCCAGTTTGAGAAATGAAATGAGAAAAAAGGAGGAAATTGGCAACCATTTATTTTTTTGAAGGGATTGAGGTTTGTAGTATCGCATTCACAGGTATCTATGGCATAGGTAAATTTATATTAAATTATTCTAATATAAATGGACTCCCATCTCCAGGTAAATATAAATTATTTGAAATTGAAAATGAAATTTTTATTAATTAATCTAAAATTT